ATTATACAAACGGACGCGTATTAAACATATCTTACAAAACATATACTTACTAATTTTGGTGAAAGTAAACGTTATACATACCTATATAGCACTTGATTAACACATTCGCGACCGCTGACGTGAATGTACGTCACTTGAAATTCTATTCCTGGTTTCTATTCCAAACGATGAAAATTTTATTTTATACACTACATATTTAGAACATTGATATTACAAAACATATATTGTAATTTATATCTTTGCCGTAACGATACAAATTTGCGGTGTCCAGCTTCAGAATTCTATTATTTTCGTCAGTACTCGGTATTAGAAACGTGAAACATCTGCCGAGCGCGGATGTGTTAAGATAGCATTTAGCTAATGCTTCAAAAGTTCAGAAATAGTTTTTAATATCGTTAAGTCTTTGTAAAACCTCGACACCGTCGAAAGGCTTAAGAATCGCTATTTACCCACCACGTGTCTGTGAACCACTGCGTCGTTTCCGATTCAGAGAAAGTTTCTTTGAAAAGCTCGACGGGGTTGAAAGGTTATCAGACGCGCGACCTGGAATCCAAAGGCTGGCTCCGTCACCGCGCCAATAACATTCCAGGGAGTCAACCGCGAGACGAAAACTGTTAATTTCTACGCTGCCGCGATGCAGCCAGGTCCCCACGGAATTCGTTCGCATTGTTCCGCAATCTCGAGTCCCGTTACCGGTCGCGGAGGTTCGATTTCTGCCTGATTCGTTTCCGTATCGTGATCCCTGGAGGAAGGTCTAGAAAGAGTAGATAGGCTCGGGCCCGGTCATCATCTTCATCGTCGTTCGGACACACGTGACCCAACTCCGTGCACTCCTACGCAGTCCTTTGGAAACGAATCACCCCCGGTTTATTGTTGCATCTGGACTACGATCGACGATGCAGCTTGTTTTTGCAAAATAAAATCATGGCTGTAATATTAATGAGATCGTCGCTCGAGTGACTTCGATGCGTGGTAAAGCATCATCGCCTGAATCCTGACGTTAAACTTACCAAAAGTCAATTACGGCAACAGTTTTACATTCGATTTTCTCTCAGAAATTTTAAAATAGATCTGCCTAACATAACGGTTCGTTTTAAAATTTATTTGATGTAATCATAGTCTCGACAAGCTGTGTTATAAATAACGCTTTCAGGTGTAATAAGAATGATTTGAAGTATCGAAGATGGAAATCGCAGTCGAAAATATTATTTGTGGCGGAACCTGTCGAGACTATTATTATGTTAAATTTATTAATATCACGAAGTTATCATTACAATCGCTATTTTAGGTAGATGTAGACAGATTTCCATCTACCATCAATTTTATAAATCGAACTTGAAAACTCGTTTATGGAATCAAATAAATTACAAATAAATCACAAGTAAATTTAAAAGTTTATCCACGTGTTGCTGATGATTATTATCCCGTATCGTTTTGACGGCGATCGCTATAATTCGCAACGTCGCGATAGGCGGCTGCGGAGATACGATGGTACGATCACTTTCGATGAGAAAAATCAGTGCAAGGTGCTCAATGATTCATGACGTTGGTGGATCCGTTGTGTACACAGCCCTTAAGATTCGAGAGGAAGCGACGACGATCCGCCGGCGGCTTGTACGTGCATTCACAACTGAATTAGCCGCATCATTGTCTGAATGGGAGGAGACAGAGAAATCTTAAGTGAATGTAAATATGGTAAAAATCCACGCGTCATCCGGCCGACGATCGTTGATATTTCCGAGGGCATATCGCCACGGCTATTGTTCCTTTTACTGAAAGAACAAAGGAATAATTTAATTCGTCTGATACAGCCAATTACAAACGTAGTGAAACGTACAATATCAATTGCAAGTTATAGACAGAACATGAGTTTCGATTATTATATGGATATTCAAGTTTTTGCTCGATAAAATAAAAAATATATATGTATATATGATGATATATATTGAAAAGAATAATTGCAATTCTGTATACATTATATTAGTTACAATATTATAGACATCACAAGAATTTTGATAATCCTATGCACGTTAAAGTTCGTTTAATTAGTGGAAGGAATATATTATAAAGATTAATTGTAAACCAACGTACATTTGAGTTTCTTTAATTAAAATAAGGAATGTATTGGAAAGAATAATTGCAAGTCTACATACATCATGTTAGTTGCATCATCATGAACACCTTAAGAGTTTTGATAATGATGTGCATACTAAAATTTGTCTCTTATTAAAGTATAGAATATATCGAAAAGAATAATTGCAATTTTATATACATATACATATATTAGTTGCATTAATATGGACACCACAAGAATGTTGAAATTTGAAATTACACAATCAAACAATTCCCACGGACAAATGAAAATATAATTACACGTTGTTGAAACTGAAAATATTCGGTCCACGATCATCCCAGCCACTTGGCTTTGGTCGACATGGAACCTTTATAACGCGGAAGGCCAAAGCGAGTCGACTGATAACTTTCTCCCATTGAGAAGTCCGCCATACACGGACAAGGAATCTATCAGGACAGTCGCGCAGTTACTGAATTCCCTGGCGTACTCTTCTTAATTAGTTTTCTTCCAATTAAGAGGACACCGTATCGGTTACGGCTCGATATTAGCGGCAGCCGGAATTTTCTGAATTGAATTCCAAGCGCTCCACTTTCACGTTCGGGGAATTACACGGTTTCTCCTATATTTTACAGAGAAATTAATAAATCTTGGACGCTGGTATTAGGATATTGGTTCGATGTATTTTGTTGTCGAATCGCTTTACAACAATAGTACAAGATTAAGGAAGTTAGCGAGGAGAAATTTTTTACGCTCGCGGGGCAAGATAAATTAGTGAACTCAATTTGTATCTTGTTTTTCGAAGAATGGCGCGGATATTTAAATAAAATTAAAGTAATCTGGTCAGAACTGGTACTCTAACTCTCTCCAATTAATTTTCTCTACTCCTAATGACTCTTGTTCTTCGGTTCTCTCTACTCGGCTCTTTGACCTCGCTATTTGCGAGTAGTATCCTTAGTCGAAAGTAGACTGTTGATTTTATATACTGAACATGTCCAGAGGATGTGCACTTGTACCTCAATTTCTATTTATTTCATATTCCTTGTATAATTTTCATATCACAGTCGTTTAATTTATATTCACAATTTTTTAAATATTGTATGCAGAAGCACAAATTTCAAAAAGTGTTTAAAACTCGTTTATACCATCCCTTAATTTTGTTTGTATCTGGCAATTTCTTTGATAGTCACTCGTAGGCTCTAATTACCCGAGATAATTATAAAAGAAAGTGCAAAGAGCTAAAGCTCCAAGATGCAATTAGCAATAGTCTTCTGGTCCAGATGGACCAGTTTCGTCCTCCAGCTCTTACTCCTGCTCCTGCTCGGCCGTAATTAAGGCTAATTGTTGGTGGTCGCCTCTACGACGACTTAATTCATCCGCTGTGTATATTTGCAATTTTTAACAAACGAAACAAAGATTAATTTGATTTGGTAGATACTCATGCAACGCAGTGTTACAATCGTCCCTGAAACACTTTATTGCGTAATGTGTGCTGGATTGAGAACTCGGTAAAAATAATAGCTTACCTTTACTTTCTTTACTTCTCGCACAATAAACGATTGTGGCAACAATTAAATCATTTGTATTTTCATTCCAAATAATTCGTATCTAATATGCGTATACTATCGAGTACTAACAAACCTACTTACAAGAATTAGAAAATTTCTAAAAATTTCAATAAATATACTTCCCAACTGCACTCTTCTAATAACTGTAGACTGTTAATAAACTGTAGAATGTTAATAAACATTCAGCTCCTCAATCGTGATAAGAATATTATCTTCAGCGATGTGGAAGTACCCTTTTCCAAAATTTCAAATCTATCCACATGCAATCTCTCCCCAGTCAGCCGATCTAGTCTAAAAAAATCCCACCTTTATTTCTGAAAATCGTGCGAACCTACCCCTTTGGACCGAGTCACCTCATTCGACGGTACCGTACTTTTACCCTGATAAGAAGCAAACTGGAATCGCGACGATAATTGACATTACGAGGAATCAGCTGCGCGTGTACCGTTAACCTTAAGGTTTCAACTGGTTCGATCGATCGCAGCTTTTTGTTCGGCGCTTCTTATTACCTCGGGTAATTGTGCGCAGCTGTTGCGCGTTTCATACCTTCGAAAAAGATCTTGCAAATTATTCCCCGTTCGAGTAATGCACGCGGTACCAAGAGGAACATGCCCGCCACGGGTGCAAATTCCAGTTTCCGAAACGCATTAATCGGCGACAATTTGACGAACGTGTGTAACTGCCGCTCCTTTACGTGCTTATTACGCTCTCCGCAAATGGGAGCTGCGAGCCAGAAATCTTGGCACGAAGTGATCGAAGAAATGCCCTCTCTTGACCTCTTTGTGCCTCTGTCAAATACCTTTTGCTCCTTTTTATTTCGATGTACAGTTCGATTGAACGCGATCGGACCTGTTACATTCGGAAAGTGACGACGGCCGATTACAGGGTCGGGTAGACCTTTGAAAATTAACATGTTTGACTGCCACGCTAACCAACACCTCATCTTCAGAATAAATTTTGTAAATACCTAGTGAGAAGTCCTGTCACCCATATATGAGTGTTTTAAAGCAAATCTATTCCAAAAGTCTTCTTTAGATATTCTAAGCCGTGCACTTCTAAGCTTGGCACAAATCCAGAGTCTAATGGAACTCGAATGAGCTTAAAATTGTACGATAATCCCATACATAATGTGGGTAAGGCGTTAAGACATGGAAGTTAAAATAACATATAATAAAAATGATAAATTCTATCTAAAATTAAAGACTATTTAAAAATAATATGCATCTACAATTTGCCCAAGCAAAACGGTCATCATCCCCAAAATCAAATAAATCATCTCTAATCTATTATAATCAACTAACTCCAATTACATGTATTTTTCCGAACAGATCTCACTAACAATCCCGAAATTCTTTTTCCAGGCTTCACGGGCACCCAGTGCGAAATCGACATAGACGAGTGCGCAGCGAAGCCCTGTCTAAACGGCGGCGTGTGCACCGACCTGATCAACTCCTTCAAGTGTACCTGCGCGAACGGATTCGCTGGTGCCCACTGCCAGATCAACATAGACGACTGCGCGTCCTCGCCATGCAAGAACGGAGGCCTCTGCCAGGACTCAATAGCCAAGTATACCTGCGACTGTCCACCAGGATTCACCGGCGCCTCCTGCGAGACGAACATAAACGACTGCCAGTCGAATCCCTGTCACAGCGGCACATGCATCGACGGAGAGAACAGCTTCAGTTGCAACTGCTACGCGGGATTCACGGGGAAGCTATGCCAGATCCAGATCGACGAGTGCGAGAGCAACCCTTGCCAATTCGGTGGTAGATGCGAGGATCGCATAAACGGGTATCAGTGCATCTGCAGGCCCGGCACGTCCGGCACGAACTGCGAGGTGAACGTGAACGAGTGCTATAGCAATCCGTGCAGAAATGGAGCGAGGTGCATCGACGGTATCAACAGGTGAGTCGGCGATTAGGTGATTTGGTGGCTAAGAAAAGTCCTCGGATGTTGGGACTGAAAATGGTTCGATTGGAACCGTTCGTAAGTTCTTCACTCTACATCCTTCAACTCCGAAGCAAACCCTTCTGGCAGACTCTCATTGGAGTACAAATGTACAGTCTATTTCATCAGAGCGTGGACACGAAAAATGACTAATTTGTTTAAAGAAATGACATGAATTTGTTTAAAGAGCTAAGAGTGTCGATTTCTAGATACTATATTTTTGCAGATTTTGTATATTTTAAATTCGTACGGAATTTTGTATGAGACATTCTCCACGTACTTATTCATATTTCAAGGTTTGATTTTTCGAGAAAGGGTGGGATTTTTTCTTTTTGTTGTAGGACGATTTGAACCTCGATCGAGGAGGTCATCGTCACATTTTGTAGCTTTATATCGTTGTATTCAATCATTTTTAATTGATACTCTTTAATTTATAATACTTGTTTCGACGACCATTCGGATGGCAACATAAAAAGACGACTTGAAACCATAGAAATGGATCGTATTACCTCAGAGACATAGTTGAAACTAAACTTCTTTAGGCGAACACGTATCAAAGAAAACTGCTAGTGTTTTACATTAGAACAATTTCGCTTTCATTGGATACCAAATTTCAGAAATATCGCGTTCATGCTCTTATCCAGACTGCATAAATACTTGCACTGCAACTTTGAAATTACGCAACCGAAAGTTTAGCATCTTCCTTTCCCTCCGGATTTGAATCCCTCAACCGACAGAATAACAGCTGAAAAATATCCAAAGAAACGAAAGCGTCTCGGACGAATCTGTTCGTTGCTATCACACCCACTCAGAATCTGGCAAAATTGATCTCCCCCTGAAACTTCCTCGGCTCCGAGAGGCCTGGAAGAAATTCTTCCCCGGCGAAGAACGACTCTCTCGTGCGCGAACCCTCTAATCTGGCAAAATCTTGGCCCGCTCTAACGTTATCATTTCTTCCATCCTCAGCGGATACGATGTCTCTTCTTCCAGGTATTCGTGCGAGTGCGAGCCAGGTTTCACGGGCCAGCACTGCGAGACGGACATAAACGAGTGCGCGAGCAATCCTTGCGCGAACGGCGGCCGCTGCATAGATCTGATAAACGGCTACCGATGCGAGTGTCCTCGCGGCTACTACGACGCTAGATGCCTGAGCGACGTGGACGAATGCGCGAGCAGCCCGTGCGTGAACGGCGGCACCTGCGAGGATGGCGTCAACCAGTTCATCTGTCATTGCCTACCGGGTTACGGCGGCAAGAGATGCGAGGCGGACATCGACGAGTGCGGCTCAAATCCCTGCCAGCACGGCGGTTCTTGCAACGACCGCCTGAACGGGTACAGTTGCAAGTGCGTGCCTGGCTACGCTGGCACCAACTGCGAGACCAACATCGACGACTGCGCGAACAATCCTTGCCAGAACGGCGGCTCCTGCATCGACCTTGTCAACGACTACAAGTGCGTCTGCGAGTTGCCGCACACGGGAAGGAACTGCGAGGACAAGCTCGACCCTTGCTCTCCTAACAAGTACGAATATTGAATTGTTCGACTGAGATCGCTCTGTGTCGAATAAGGATGTTTCTTGGAGGGACAGTTTTGGATTTTATTGGAATTTAGACGTACGGTAGAATGCTATTTATATATTTACAGAGCATTTTGGGAAACAGCAGTTTATGTAATAAGAATCTCAGTGACCCCAATATTTGGACATAAGTGGATTCAATCATACTTTTAATTCATTCTTTGAATTATAGCAATATTTAAATGTTCATGAACGGAGAAATAACTTGGAAGGACAGTAATTGGATAAATCTGCTAGATAAATTGTTTATTTGAATGAAGAGTAAAAATAGCTATAGATATTTATTATTTAATATACTCGAAATATTAGTACAAAATATATCATGAACTGTTGAACATAAAGTATGGCGTGTTAAGATACAATTAATTATTTTCGTTTACGGGCTTTACTAATGTTAGGTTCTACAAATCTTTCAAACACTCTAAATTAATTGCATTGTTTCACACTTAAGGCTCTAGCAGATCCAGAGAGAGTTCCTTTTTAAAATTTTACGCAACATTCTTAAAATGCATATTTTTTGAGGAATGGAACCAAAAGAAATGTATTTACACTGTCGTTTGTCAAGTGGTCATATAATTGAAGTTACGCTTGACACTAGTTCAGATAATACAAGTCCAACAAAAGTTCATTAAACCGGGCATTGACAAACATTTTGTTCAGACAAATGGTATTCTACTGTATCATTGGCTTTGGCTATGTTTGACCCTTTGCGATTATATTTGTATTTATAATACTTCAATAATCTATATAGCGTATAGGTTTAATCCTCCGTATAGTACGTCCAAAGGTGCAGAACCTTTCCCAAGATTGTCGCGCTCCAAGAAACAGCATCCAAGTTGGCAAAGGATGTCCTATTAATTTATTTGGTTAAGAAATTGAATCAACTTTAACGTTTTGCCCTTACAGATGTCTCCATGGCGCCAAGTGTTCACCGTCATCGAACTTCCTGGACTTTGCCTGCACCTGCACCGTCGGCTACACAGGCAGACTCTGCGACGAAGATGTCGACGAATGCGTGATGACCTCCCCATGCAGAAACGGCGCTACCTGCAGGAACACCAACGGCTCGTATCAGTGCGTCTGCGCGAAGGGTTACGAAGGACGGGATTGCATCATTAACACCGACGATTGCGCTTCCTGTGAGTATATATCATCATTATTTATTAGAAATGAATTCTGTACCTCCCTATATTCAATAATTTATAACTCTAGTTTAAACAAATACACTTACTCGTCATTTTGGTACATTAAACCTTCTAAGTCATCAACCTGATGACCATTGCAATGCATCTATATAAACTTTAGCAGCCATAAAATTTTGCTTGTTGTTATTCTTTTACGATTACTGTAATTACCAAGTACATTTTTAATCTGTTAGAATAATAATAATAAGCAAAAATGTGCCACTAAATTTCGTACATACATATACATACGTAGTCATACATAATGGTCATCAGGTTAAAGCTTACGTTATGTAATATACGATCAGTCTAAAAACTCATCATTTAATAAATCACTTACATTCAAAAATCATAAAGGCTACAAGAAATATTAGAATCCTTATTCCTGAATCGTATACCGTCACCATAGTAAAACGTTTACTTTATTAACCATTTAACCATTATATCTCTTACAGTCCCCTGTCAAAATGGCGGAACGTGCCTGGACGGCATTGGCGACTACACATGCCTCTGCGTGGACGGTTTCAGCGGCAAGCACTGCGAAATCGACGTGGACGAGTGTCTGTCGCAGCCCTGCCAGAACGGCGCCGTCTGCAAGGAGTACGTCAACTCCTACACGTGTCAGTGTCAACTTGGATTCTCCGGGATAAACTGTCAAACCAACGACGAGGATTGCACGGACAGCAGTTGCATGAACGGTGGCAAGTGTATCGACGGCATCAACAACTACACCTGCGTCTGCGAACCAGGATACACAGGGTCGAACTGTCAGTACCGCATCAACGAGTGCGACAGTTCGCCGTGTCTGAACGGCGCCACTTGTCACGACCACGTTCAGTATTACACTTGTCACTGTACTTACGGTTATACCGGGACGAGATGCGACGAATACGTGGACTGGTGCGGGAACAATCCCTGCGAGAACCAGGCCACGTGCGTGCAATACAAGAACAAGTATCACTGCAACTGCTCCCCTGGATGGACTGGAAAGGTTTGCGATGTGGAGATGGTCTCGTGCAAGGACGCAGCCATCAGGAAGAGAGTACCCGAGAAGAACCTCTGCAATAACGGGACCTGCGAGGACATTGGTAACAGTCATCGCTGCCACTGCCTCGAGGGATACACGGGATCGTACTGTCAAGAAGAAGTCAACGAGTGTGACTCCGCTCCGTGTCAGAACGGTGCCACATGCAAGGATCTGGTCGGCTCCTATCAGTGCCAGTGTACGAAGGGCTTCCAGGGTCAGAACTGCGAACTCAACGTGGACGACTGCAGGCCCAATCCTTGCCAAAACGGTGGCACCTGTCACGACCTCATCAGTAATTTCAGCTGCTCGTGTCCGCCTGGAACTTTGGGCTTTATCTGCGAGTTAAACGTCGACGATTGCGCTATCGGGACTTGCCACAACAACGGAACGTGTACGGATAAAGTCGGAGGCTTCGAATGCAGATGTCCACCTGGATTCGTCGGCCCCAGATGCGAGGGCGACATCAACGAGTGTCTGTCGAATCCGTGCACGTCTCCTGGGACGCAGGATTGCGTACAATTGGTCAACAACTATCACTGCAACTGCAAGCCGGGTTACATGGGACGCCACTGCGAGGTCAAGGTGAACTTCTGCGACAGCTCCCCCTGCCAAAACGGAGGAGTGTGCACGGCCAAGCAAGCTGGACACACATGTCTCTGTCCTAGCGACTATTACGGAAGCAACTGCGAATTCGCTGGTTCGTATTGTGATCGTGAGCCATGCTTGAACGGTGGTACTTGCAGAGTGGCCGAAACAGAAGTCGGGTACAGGTGTTACTGCCCTCCTGGAACCACCGGAACGCACTGCGAAATAGACGCTAGAGACGAGTGCGCGAGCAATCCTTGTCAGCAGTCCAACGCAGTCTGCAAGAACCTGCTTGGCGATTACGCCTGTGATTGTCCACCTAAATGGACCGGCAAGAACTGCGAGATTTACGACCCGAATTATAGCGGAGGAATCTTCGGCAGAGCGAACTCGAACGGCCCGAAGATCATGAACGCGTACGACATGGATTTAAAAATGGAAAGGAAGAAGTGCATCGAGAACAGATGCGAGGAGAAGTCTGGGAATCATCATTGCGACGAGGAATGCAATAGGTATGCCTGCAACTTCGATGGAAATGACTGCTCGCTGGGGATCAATCCGTGGCGCAATTGCACGGCTCCCATCAACTGCTGGGACGTGTTTATGAACGATGTCTGCGACGAGGTGTGCAACAATGCTCAGTGTCTGTTCGATGGAAGGGATTGCGAGAGAAAACTGGCGCCTTGCAAGTAAGTAACACTTAGAGAATTAGTTCAGGAATCTCCTTAGTGTAGCGCCTTAAAAACCGAATGATATTCTAAATATCATATAAAATTTTTTAAAAGGGAAGTGTAAAGTATACCAGTTTCAAACTTTGTGTGTATACAATGCATATTTGAAGTATAATTTCAAACTTCTTCCAAGTTCTAGACTTAGATTATCCTCTTGAAAAGTTATTCGCGGCCTTGCCAGGTCATTTTTAATATATGTTATTTTTACAGCCCCATCTACGACGCCTACTGCCGCAAGCATTACGCCAACGGACACTGCGACTACGGCTGCAACAACGAGGAGTGCAATTGGGACGGTCTCGACTGCGACACGGAGCAACCATCGTTGGCCGAAGGCGTGATCTCCGTAGTCGTGAGGATGGACATGCAGACCTTCCGTTCCAACGTGGTGGCTTTCCTCAGAGACATCGGCCACGAGTTGCGGACCACATTAAGGGTGAAGCAGAATGAGCTGGGCAACGACATGATATACCCTTGGAAAAGAGAAGGAGAGACTAGCATGCAAACGAACTTCTTCGGTCGTCCCACCACCATATACACCAACAGCGAGAGCGGTGTGATAGCCTATCTAGAAATCGACAACAGAAAATGCACCGTCACCCAGGGAGCCGTGTGCTTCCCTTCAGCAAACGAGGCAGCGGAGTACCTGGCAGCCACCGCGTCCAAGCATTCCCTCTCACCAAACTTCCCCATTGAGCAAGTTCGAGGAGTCGTGGGGCCCCAGGGGCCCGATTACCCGGACACCCCGACGAACTACAAGTACGTCTTCATCGGGGTCGTGATCGTGGTGCTCGGAGGAATGCTCGTGGGAGTACTGGTCACGGCGCAAAGGAAACGTGCGGTAGGCGTGACCTGGTTCCCCGAGGGTTTCCTACGCACAAGCAGCGGCAGCGGACAGCGTCGTAGATCGCGCAGACGGGGACCTGATGGACAGGAAATGAGGAACCTGAACAAGCAACCATCGGTGAACTGCATGGACCTAGATGTCGGGAACGGTCGGGTGCAACAGTGGTCCGACGACGAGTCCGACCTCCCGCCCTCGAAACGAATGAGAGCCATCGAGCCTGGATACGCCAGCGATCACACCGTCATCACGGACTACGAGGAAACCGAGCCTCGCATGTGGACGCAGCAGCACTTAGATGCCGCTGATATACGAAGACCAGACGCTGGAGTACTGACACCTCCTAGTTTAGAACATGGCCAAGACGTCGATGCCAGAGGTCCCTGCGGGATGACACCTTTGATGGTGGCCGCGGTACGCGGCGGAGGATTGGACACTGGAGAAGAGGAAGACGAGAGCGACGGGTCAGCTGCGATGATCGCCGATCTGGTCGCCCAAGGCGCAGACCTGAACGCCACTACCGACAAGAGCGGCGAGACATCTCTGCACTTGGCGGCTCGTTACGCGAGATCTGACGCTGCCAAGAGACTTCTTGACGCTGGAGCCGACGCAAACTCTCAGGATAACACAGGCCGAACGCCCCTTCACTCCGCCGTCGCGGCTGATGCGATGGGCGTCTTTCAAATACTGTTACGAAACAGAGCGACAAACCTCAACGGACGCATGCACGACGGCACCACGCCACTCATCCTGGCCGCGCGTCTGGCCACCGAAGGTATGGTCGAGGATCTCATTAATGCTGACGCTGACATCAACGCAGCCGACAACAGCGGGAAGACTGCTCTGCATTGGGCCGCGGCTGTGAACAACGTCGACGCCGTGAACATACTACTCGTCCACGGCGCCAACAGAGACGCCCAGGACGACAAGGACGAGACCCCGTTGTTCCTCGCTGCCAGAGAAGGCAGCTTCGAGGCCTGCAAAGCGTTGCTCGATACGTTCGCCAACAGGGAGATCACCGATCACATGGATCGGTTACCCAGAGACGTGGCCAGCGAGAGATTGCACCACGACATCGTGAGATTGCTCGAGGAACATGTACCGAGATCCCCGCAGATGGTGACCGTGATACCGAACGGTCCGCTCATGGGTAAGCGTCTTCATACCCCGGTGTTAACTCTCGCACGGCTGAGGGTGGGTTTGCCCGGAGCAGGGCGTGGAAAGTCTGACTTTGCTGAGCGACACGTGATAGGTCAGTTGACACTTGCGCAGAAAGAGTCGAACGGAAATGTATTCTTTTGTAACTGTGTTGTTTAAAATATCGCGAAGAAGAAAGAACGTATAGTCGTTGAAAAAAATGTTCTTGTTGTTTTAGTCGTACTTTGTTGGTCTTCCAATGTATACAGTCCTATAATGGAATACGTTCTCGGTTTACTTTGCTCTTCGATACCGCGTTAAACGGTAGGCTGCATATCATAGATTGTATAAGCACATGTTCAGTACGATAACCTGTCAGAAATGCTTGCAAAATGTTAATTATAACCTAAACAAAAATCTGACACCGAAGAGTATCAGTTTAGATGCCACGACCCAGCCGTAGCCGTGCGTTATTAAAGATCGGACTTTGATACTTTCGATAGCAATGGTCTCTTCAAGCCATTCGAGAATGTGAAAGATGTCTTGAGATTAAGATCTCTCTAGATTTCCAAAGTATCGAAAGTCTAGAAGATTCTCAAGCTTTTGAACATTTGGAATGTCTTGAAAGTCTTGAAAAACCTTGACAGTCTTGGCAATATTTAAACTTTTGATAACCTTGACGTTGCCTGTTGGTAAGATATTTATCTTATATAATTTATTTAGAAAATGATAATATAAATAAAATCTTTGCTCGTCGTTCAACTAATAACAGCTGCAAGGTATTCAAAGCATTCAAGATATCCGAGACATTTAAAGGTCTGTCTAATTTTGAGGTTTAGGATTTTTTTTTAGATCATTTTCAAACTGTTTTCAAGGCTTAAGTATTTAAGAAAATTCTTATACCCTCGATACTGGACAGACCTCTTAACCCTTTTATGCCCGCATCTAGTTTGGGAAAAAGGTTGTCCCTGAATGAGATTCAAATTCAGTGATCAGAATTTTTGATGAAGGTTATTTGACTATTGGTCGAGACTTTGTATCAAATTAACTAACAATGGAGAGACATTTTATTAATTTTTCTCAGGGACAATCTCTATTACTTCGTGCACTCTAGCCTTATTATATTATAAATGAAATTACTAACGTAACATTTTAAAAGATCAGTAATTTAGTTTGGTTTCACGACTGTATCATTGTATTGAATAATCGCACTGAACATGATTACAACTAGTGTACCTTGACGAATGATATTGCAATAAGTAATAACAATCTAATAATATTATAATTCCTTCAAAAAGGATACGTTGGGCATGAAGAGGTTAATAAGACAGGGTTAGAGAACACGTCAATCATAGAACGATGGTTAAATCCATAAGAACTTTTAACTTTTTCACGTTGTGTTTAAGAAATAACAAATGTCCGCTGGTTCTCCATCCCTGGATTAAGTTAAACACTCAAGATTTCTAAGAATTTTCAAGGTGTTCAATCAGAACAGTTTTGCAAAACAGTTTCGAGACATCTTGAGTTTATTCCTCGACCCAAGATGTCTCAAAACAATCCATCTCCCATCATTAGTAACCAAATAATTGTTTGACTGTTCCGTAACATTCAATTTCCACTTGTTTACCTTTGCAGGATCCCCAAACCACCCACAACTAATCACACATCCCACAGTGATCGGTTCAGCGCCGAAGCAAGGGAAGTCGAAGAAACGACCGAAAACCGTCGCAGCGGGAAACCCAAACAGTCCAGAATCGGAAGGTGGCGTGGTGGTGGTAAGGCGAAAGCCATCGGTGAAGAAGCCGCCAGCGAAACGAGGTGCTCAGCCCCCAAACCAGGAGATCCCTCAGGGAGCAGAGGGCGCGGAGGGAAACTTGCCCAGTCCCTACGACAGCGCGAGCCTGTACAGCAACGCTCTCCCTTTGGTGGGTCACACGGCCACGGCGAAGCAACCGCCTCCCTACGAAGATTGCATAAAGGGCCAGTCCATGCAGGGCCTTCAACAACTAGGGCTGGACACCTTCACGACCAACTACGGGTTACCTAACTTTCACGACCAGCTCCTGGCGCCTCACCAGCGACAGGCGCAAGGCATGGTGAACACTCTGTCGCCGCCCTATAGCAACCAGTCGCCACCGCACTCTGTCCAATCGAACATGACGCTGTCGCCTCAGGCAAGCTATATGGGCTCGCCCTCCCCGGCAAAAAGTCGACCGTCTTTGCCCACGTCGCCCACACACATTGCCGCCATGCGACAGGCGACGCATCAAAAGCATGGGGGCATGCCACCCGTGGGCTTCGACTTCGAAAATCTTCCCTATTCCTCGAGTCAGCAGCAGCAGCAGCAGCAGCAACAACAACAACAACAACAACAGCAGCAGCAGCAGCAGATACAACAGACGCAACAGCAAATCCAGCAACAGCAGCAACAGCAACAGCAAAGCACCCAACAGCAGCAGCAGCAACAGCAACAGCAACAGCAGACGCAACAGTACTACCAGTACTTGACACCGCCCTCTCATCACTCAGGACCGGACGTGACGCCACAACACTTGATGCAGGCCCCAGAGAGCTTCCCGACCCCGTCGCCGGACAGCCCTGGCCACTGGTCATCTAGCTCGCCTCACTCGAACAGCGACTGGTCCGAGTGCATGGCCTCGCCTAACGCCTATAGTGCTGGCGGTGCTCACCAAAGCAACAAGGGCTCCGAGGCGATCTACATATGAAACCAGGCGATGCTCCCTTCCTCGCGCGAGTCGTAAGTCGTAAAGCCGTGGGAACCCGCATGAACTGTGATCGACTCGTCGAGTTCGAGGGTGATTCTCGCCGGATGTGTACGCGCAGAAACGCCTCCAGGGCTTCCCCTTAAAATCCCAGGTCCATGCACTCCGTCCAGGAGGTGGAAAACTCTGACAACCAAACCAGTTGCGTACAGATGTAAATTTGATAGCCGTTACAGGAATTACTCGAGTTAAGTTGTACAAAGTTCAACAGTGGTTATGCAAATGATTATTCAGTGTTCCTTGGGAAATTTACAAGACACACTATATAGTTGCATCGAGTGGCAAAGGAGTCCATCTGCTGGTACAGCCCTATGATATTCACAATACGGATTCGTTATTTAGTTTCAGGCGTAAATATTCAAACGTCAGTTTGTCATTAGTGCAGGCACTCTCTAACTAAACCAGCTTCACTGTTGATTCGCTGCATCTGCCGTAAGAGAATCAATAGAAGATGTACAAAAATATCGAATAGAAAATATATATTTTTAGGGCACAATTTACAATAGACTCCTAGGCAAAGACATAGTAGAACGATTAGATCTGTTGTGAATCGTGTGGCTTGGTTACCAGAGTCTTCTTCTCGCTGAACAAAGTGTAGATACTCTCCCGTCAAGTCGCGGACGCGATGACATTGCTCTCGAGGTCAGCCCACGCACCGTAGCTACTCACACGATAGAAATATAGATAAACAATTGTGCACCCCGAAGGGATATTTTTCTGGGTCGCTGTTTACACGTAACATGGTTCATCGTGCCTTTCTCATATTGTAACCGCGAGGCGGTTTAAGTGTACGACGGGAGATTGAAGTAGCCACAGGGTGGTCCACAGGTTTCCGTACAGAGCCAATTCTGTAGTTGGAAGTAAGACGAAAATGTCAAGTGCATATCTGTTTCAGGTATTTTAATGTAATTGAAAGAAAATTATTCGACGTATTATTCATACATATTTCTGAATGAAGCAATAGCAAGGAATCGGAACAGTATATTTTTATAAATATTTTGAAAATAAGGTGCTACTGTAGTATACAATTCTGAGTCGTATTAATCACCTGATAACAGAGACATTATTTATATACTCTTGCACTGTATCGCATTAACGGTGCAATTATTATCCTTTCCTAGACATTTCATAATTTTATCATTGCCTTTTAGGAAAGCATTTATGAACCTATACTTGAGAAACATTATCGCCTAATCTTTAACTACGGAAGGTGTTTGGCTAAGTTTGCGGGAACTCGTGGGGAGATATCCTGTACATATATTTTCATTTTATATCAACCGATCCATTTACTCGTATCTCAGCTCAATGAACAATGGTGCCTTCGACTTGCCACAGTGTGAAGACCCGATAGACAGTTAAAGCGATAAGGAACGAGACCTTGCTATCTACAATAGTATTGTATATAGGACAACATATATGGAGAGGCGGAAAATCATACAGCGCTACACATGTATTCGACGAGGACGACTAATAGAGTGTAATATGTAATAATTCTATTTAATATGTAACGCAAAACAGAGCACATTTATAAATAAAATATCTGTATCTCCGGGGGAGGTCGAACACCCGACACGGCGAGCCCGAATCCGAGGAGAATCTCTGCACCGCGCTAGAATGATAAACCGAGAATCGTGCCTTCGAATGTCGTAGGGTAAGGGAGTAATGCTGTAGGTAAATCTATTAAATTATGTGTTTTTCTTTCCCGATGAAACGCAGCGTTTCCAAATGGCCTTTAACGATTTAACGTTTATTACCGATTAGCGGGGAGATTTAATGTAAGATAGGTGAAACGGTAAATGATTTGTACGGTCGACGGGAGTCTCAGAGAAATCGTCTTCATCCCGCGAATAATCGTTCCATACACAGACATTCCATTCGCTTGGCGCTACCTCATCTATTCCTCGTATACTCCTGTCGAAATGCTTCGCCGACTAGGATAACCGCGAATCGCTCTATGAAACTTTTGCCATCTTATGCAACGGGAATGCAAAAATGGAGTTTCAGAACTATAGAATCGAAGTAACCGACTAGTAGATGCGAGACGATGACTTATGCAACGTATTTCTGTAAAGTAATTATTTTTGGAAAGTTTTTAAGTCTGTATAGTTCTTTGAAATAATTTATTGATACATCCAAACATATTCGCTACTAGTTGACTAAGAGTTGAAAAAAGTTCAGAAGAAGTCATGTAATTTTCCTCAATCCAATGATAATACAGTTAATCCAACTTCGATGGAATGTTTCCTTTCCATAATTAAATAACTTTGATTTAATTCTTCCATGCTACAATTAAAACTTTGTATTTTCTTTTTACAAGCTCTTAACATCCAATCAATTTTGTATCTATAGTTCTGGAATACCCTGTAGCGAGATACTTGTGATACTCTTCTTGGTGCACTCTAAGTCCAAATGTATTAGACTTCTGGCACTCAAGTGTACCTTTAGCTTTTATTATATTTACAGTCTTGCGATATACAGAATAATTGTGAATGTTGTCGAATGTGGTCTACAACTTAACACTTAAACTATTGGCTTATTTAGAAATCATACAACTTAGAAGAGAACTTTCTACATTAGTATATATCACTGTAGGTTGACATTAACGTCTACACACTGTTATCAGATGTGTTAAAAACTTTATCTGTTTTCCAAAATTGAGCATCTTAAGCAAACAATCAACGATGCAGTTCATAACTTCCAAAACACATATAAAATGTTGAGTCTAAAAAAAGCCTCTCATGCGTGCCTCAACACAACTTGTATCTAAAAGTGTGAAATAATTTATCCGTTTTGAACGCAAGAGTTTCGATCGAGTCGATAGGTCAAGGAAAGTACGCGGATGCGCCTGGTAATTACTGTCTTCGAATCGTTTACTAACAAGCTAGCGTAATTCTTAACGTTAATATGTAATAGAATCCCTTTAAATTAAATTAAGCACGCGACGGACGGGCGAAAGACGATTCTCGCTGATCTCTCATCTGCCAAAGTCAAAAGAGAGTTCTTGAATCAGTGATTCTTAACTTTTCTGAACTTACAAAGTTCAAGAATAAATAAGCCTGATAATTAATCATGAGCGTTTATGGTAACAATTTTAAAAACTACACAAAATGATGAACTGTTGAATAATCATGTATGTAATTTCTAAACTGATGTAAAAGGATACAATAATTATAAGAACAAGGCAAATGTATCTTTATTTAAGAGAATATTGTAATCGACATTTTTTTCTATATTATAAGTACAAAAGCGTTGTAAAATAGGACAATGAAATTATTTGATCATAAAGCTTAGAATGATGATGAGTGAATACGAAGAACAACAAATTTCCATTCTTGTGTCAAATTATATGACTTGTTATTATTCTCATTTTCTTGAACAGATAATCTTGTTTCTCTGTTTCGTTAGATTTTGAAATTTGTATTACAAAAGTAAAGGAGCAATTAGGATTCACTCTGCTCGTATAAGCAAATGCGTATCATCGAACATTTCTTGGATTTATCATTGAACAGGGCACTATGGTTAAGAATCACTGTCTTAGGTAATGCGTAATCAGGCGGCGTGATTGGACGGTGGCGCGTACGCGCATAATAGGGTATAGACATTAATCGTAGGATTGTTACGAGAGAAAAGAACTAATTATTTGGTCGGCGAGATGGAATTCTCCGTGCACGCATGCAATACGTCCACCAGTGATTAGAGAGAACCACTAACGGATCAGGACCGCGTAGAAACCGTGTTTTATCCTTCGCGTTTCTACAAAAAAAGAGGAAGTTTGTAAATACTCTTTATCGTTTCTTTTTCCCATGGCCCACCTTCCCCTCCTACTCCTCCACATACCTCACTCCTGCCCCCCCCCCATTCTCTGTCCGTTCATCTTACGTACTATCCAGTACTTTTTTTTTCTTTTATATGCAATAATTGTCTTTTCTCTCGATTTTGTACAAACTGTTTTTACATATTTTTATATTATGTAAGTTTAGATATTGATAGTTTTGTAAGGCGACTCCCAATATACAGTAAACAATAATGTTTCCTTTTATCATATTATGGATCATAGAAAAGAATATAAATATATATATACGAATTAGATATATATATTTTATATGTATATTTTGTGTGATTGGCCGTTGCATCGGGGATTCGTGATTGCGTCCCGTTTTATCCGCGATGCAATTCCGAATTACACGGGAGGTGTGTTTGTGTGTAATGGAGCTTTCCGATTACGGAAGATGAGGGTCCAACGCAATTTCTATGACTATTCTCGCGAAACCTGTATGCTCCTGAGGAGAAACATTTTTTTTTATTTATATATAGATATATATATATGAAGAAAAAGAGAGAGAAAACTTTTGTAACTAATTAAATGTATTCTTCACGCGACTGCCTTTGTATTTGTTAAAGCCGAATGAAAAGTCTGCCAAATGTCGAACGAAAATATCAAGAGAAATAATATGTTAATATTTTTTTAATTAGTATATTGTAAAGGATACTATGAAAGAGCTCAAAACGAAGAGGTTCGAATAACGATGACCTTGCGAAACCCTGTGTTCAGAGAAATAGAATTTGATATTTTCGGCCGCTTAGGCGATCGTCGATCAATCGTGAATATATATGTATATGATCGTTGAACAACGGGCGTGATTAAACAATTAATGTGTTCAAAATTTATGATGTCATCCGGGCTCTCAGCAGCGCCGATATTCTCTGTGTTAAACAAACAAAAGACGATAGATAAGCTACGCGCTCCAATTTATCAGTTATCTATGGATAAGTTTAGAGAGCAAAAACTTCCGATTATTAATGATAGATCTTGTTATTCCTTGTAACTTGTAAAAAGTACTGAGTTTTATTAGTATTAACTATTCCATAAACTATAAGGATTTGTTTCGATCCTATTATATCCTGCCAACCCTCGAACCTTACGCCCTCGTCCTGAATTACTCCCTCTACCTACCCACAAATCCTCATATTTTTATAAATAAGTTATGTCTTTTAAATGGATGTAATAATAAAGATAATCTAACATTCACAATAGGGTTGTTGTTCTGTTCTATTGTGCTATGCTTCCGCGTTTTATTCCTTTTTAATAACATAAGCATAGATACTTTTAGTATATTAAAACAGATTTTACACAACAATCAAATTGTATTATAGCAATAAAAAATAAAAAAAACCTGAAAATATCCCGAACACGTTTCACTTAAGAGTTTTTTTTTTATAAGAACAGCTATTGATGGGAATAGTACATATGGTCGCATCTGGATGAAATAGATAAAGATATGGAATCTATCGCGTTAAATATCTTTTACAGTCTCCAATCCGACAACTAATTTTAAAGATATAAAAATAGTAAAAATTAGGAAAACTGATATTCGAATCATGCTCTTCAAATTCCAGACAGCTGTGCACAGGATGACGTAAGTACACGCGCATTTGTATTTTACAGGTAAAGTATACCAAACCCATATACATTCTTAAACTTAAGGGTGCGCAGGAAGTAAACTACCACCACGAACGGAGAGTAATTGAACTACCAAATAGCTTCTCCCGTTTTTCAGCCACAATAACGAAAAAAACACGTACTGCTTACGCTTCTCGTAATCACAAGAAGTGTATCTAGCGCCTGACCGATCCTGCTACCAGGAGTAAAATTCTGATCGAAGTTTCGATACACGCCAGATATCCCTCGTGCCACCTCTTCGCATATCATGTTCTCCTGATATAATCCTCCCAAAATGTAAAATCGGCCAAAATGTAGATATGTACCGAAAATGTGCCCCTCGTATTAGGCAACCTAAACTGATAGGTAAGTCGGGCCGGTTGTCTGCTCGTAGGCGAAAATGTGCCCCTTGTGTTATGCAACCTCTACTGACAGGTAAGTCGGGCCGGCTGCCTGCTCGTAGGCGCAAATGTGCCACCTCTTCGTACATCATGGTCTCCTGATACCAGGAGTCAAATTATGTTCAAATTTCGAT